ACGCCCTGGGCTGAAGGTGACACTAAACCACTGAGCCACCCGGGCTGCCCTACAACATCCTTTCTTTTTGAAAAGACTCCAACTAGAGTATTGATGTTAACTCTAAGAGCTATGTGTTAAAGATAAACTCAAAATGGATGAAAGATCTAAATGTGAGACAAGATTCCATCAAAATCCTAGAGGAGAACACAGGCAACACCCTTTTTGAACTTGGCCACAGTAACTTCTTGCAAGATACATCCATGAAGGCAAGAGGAACAAAAGCAAAAATGAACTATTGGGACTTCATCAAGATAAGAAGCTTTTGCACAGCAAAGGATACAGTCAACAAAACTAAAGACAACCTACAGAATGGGAGAAGATATTTGCAAATGACATATCAGATAAAGGGCTAGTTTCCAAAATCTATAAAGAACTTATTAAACTCAACACCAAAGAAACAAACAATCCAATCATGAAATGGGCAAAAGACATGAAGAGAAATCTCACAGAGGAAGACATAGACATGGCCAACAAGCACATGAGAAAATGCTCTGCATCACTTGCCATCAGGGAAATACAAATCAAAACCACAATGAGATACCACCTCACACCAGTGAGAATGGGGAAAATTAACAAGGCAAGAAACCACAAATGTTGGAGAGGATGTGGAGAAAGGGGAACCCTAAAAAAAAAAAAGAAAAGAAAGGGGAACCCTCTGGCACTGTTGGTGGGAATGTGAACTGGTGCAGCCACTCTGGAAAACTGTGGAGGTTCCTCAAAGAGTTAAAAATAGATCTGCCCTACGACCTAGCAATTGCACTGTTGGGGATTTACCCCAAAGATACAGATGCGGTGAAACGCCGGGACACCTGCACCCCGATGTTTATAGCAGCAATGTCCACAATAGCCAAACTGTGGAAGGAGCCTCAGTGCCCATCGACAGATTAATGGATAAAGAAGATGTGGTCTATGTATACAATGGAATATTACTCAGCCATTAGAAACAACAAATACCCACCATTTGCTTCAACGTGGATGGAACTGGATGGTATTATGCTGAGTGAAATAAGTCAATCGAAGAAGGACAAGCATTATACGGTCTCATTCATTTGGGGAATATAAAAAATAGTGAAAGGGAATAAAGGGGAAAGGAGAAAAAAATGAGTGGGAAATATCAGAAAGGGAGACAGAACTTGAGAGACTCCTAACTCTGGGAAACGAACAAGGGGTGGTGAAAGGGAGGTTGGCGGGGGGTGGGGGTGACTGGGCAATGGGCACTGAGGGGGGTACTTGATGGGATGAGCACTGGGTGTTATGCTATATGTTGGCAAATTGAACTCCAATTAAAAAATAAAATAAAATAAAATAAAATAAAATAAAATAAAATAAAATAAAATAAAATAAAATAAGGAATCAGGGTTGCTAAAAAAAAAAAAAGAGAGAGAGCTATGTGTTAAGAAGAATACACATTAGTGAGTCCAATTTTCTAATCATGTCCCTCTTCCACCTACCTGCCAATAACTTAGCATAGTTTAAAAAGGATTCCACTTTCTCCATCTATGTCATAATACCCACTCATAGGTTAATATGTGTAATAAAAAACTAATTCCATTAAGTCAAGATATTTTTCATACTCATATTTTTTGTTTAATAAGTGTTAAAAGTAGGTTAGCAATAAAAAAAATCTAAAATATCAACAAAACATATCTATATTAAAGAGGAAACAATCCAGAGGGCATTTACATCGGGAGAAGAAAGCTAGTTGACAAGCAAAATGAAACCCAATTTCTTCCAAGAAATTTGAAAAGCAAGTTTTAAATGTCTTTTTTTCAAAGAAAGAAGACATAATACTGGAAAAGAACCCAAGTGTGCATTTGACAAGTAGAGAACTTGCCTACAGTTACGTAATTAAAATAAAATGAATAAAAATGCAGCATTAAACATGCTGCAAAATGTGCACGCTCGATCCAGCCAAGACAGTTACACCCACTCCCATTAGTAAAACAAAATGTAAGACAAAATGGGAAACTAATGAGCTCAGCTGTAGGGGCTTGTTTTTTAATTTTCATCCATTTGCTCAAAACGTAGTTTCTATTTTACCCTAAAATCTTTTGTTGGATATAAGGGGAATTAAATGTTCCTAAAGAAAAAAAATCAGAATAAACTCTGAAAATGCATAACACAAGTCTCATTTGTTCTATTTTTTTTTTTTTAGTCTCATTTGTTCTAATACACATTTGGTATGTTCTGTGTTAACATTTTTGACAGGTTAATCGTTTGTCTTCATGTTTAAAGAACATAAATGTTTTGCCAGTGCTGTTAAACAGATCCTGAGGAGGGAGAAAAGAAAACGTTATAGAAGGAGAAAGGTCTATTTTTTCAAGATGCTTTGTTAAAGCAAATCGCAGTGAGGGACTACATACCTAGGAAACTTGACCATGGTAGGTATACGGAAACCATGACTCATGAAAGTAGAAATAAAGTCAATTAATAAAGATAAACATTTTAAAGGGACACTTTTCTAATTTGAAATAAAGAAATAAGTTATTTGAAAATCTTTCAGGCTAAAAACAATAGTCTCAACGTTTATGATGAAAGCAGTAATAAAAAAAACTCAAGGCTAAAGAATAAAGAAAGTAAAAGCCAAGAGGATTCTTCAGAGAATGGATAAAGTAGCAAAGGTGACAAAGTTAATTTCTGTGAAAAATCAGTTCACTAAGCAAAGTAAGGAGATTACTGGATACCGATATATTTGCTATTCAGTTTCACTTTTAATTGACTATATTTAGTATTGTTTGGTTTTAATTAGCTTAATTTAATTAGAAACAAAAAATTATGAGAGATATTTTCATCAAATTCAACTATAATTCCAGTTTAAATTTTAAAATAATGTTTAGTTTCACGTTTTCCTTAGGTTAAGACTCGACGTCTGATTCCATGACAATAAACACTACCTTAATGGATACCCCTAATAAAAAGCACCAAACTTCAATCTGATTTCTAATAAGGATGTGTTATTCAATGCAAGTTACCAAAATTAAACAAAACTCTACAACAATAAAAGAATCAGAGAGGACATCTGAATTAGCTTAAATACAGAACATAATCTACAATTCAGATAAGTATTAGTGGCTATCATATATCATGAATTAGTTCAATTTGAATTAGAATTTGAAAATGAATCTACTAAAACAATTTTAAAATACTTGTTCTGTTTATACCATAAAATTTTATCTCAAATCCAGCACACCTAAAAAAATGTCAGCAAATAAACTTATTCTTCCTCCCAAATCTATTCCCTGTTTCCATTAATATCAATTTATTAGGAGATCCCTAGGCTTCAAAATCTCAGCATTATAGGACTCCTCCCTTCCTCCTCCTCAACTTGTCCATTCCTATTAGCCCTAACACCTAGTATCTTTGACATTTATCTCCTTACTCGTCTCATTATGAAGACTTTAGTTTTAACATTACCTTTATTAGTCTCTGACAATTGCACCGAACCTGAGCTCCCAACTTCTAGTTTTGATGCATGCCAATATATCTTACAAACTCTTTCTAGATTAAAACTGTAAGGAACTCCCCACTTTAAAAACTTCTAAGAAATTCCTGCTAAATACAGAATAAAAGCCCAAGCTTATTAGGATCTTACTTAAGATCCTTCCCAATATGGGATCAATCTTCCAATACAATTCCCATTATTCTCTTTCATTTCAATGTAGGGGTACCATTTGCTACAAGCCAAAGAAAATTAACTGACATTTTTTGTACATGGCCTATAATATCTGACTTATTTCATTGTAAATCATTAATAGATTTCTTCTATTTAAAATGGGATGCCTGAGTGGCTCAGTGATTGAGCATCTGCCTTTGGCTCAGGGTGTGATCCTTGTCCAGGGATCAAGTTCCATAATGGGCTCCTTGCAGGAAGCCTGCTTCTCCCTGTGCCTATGTCTCTGCCTCTTTCTGTCTCTCTCATGAATAAATAAATAAATACAATCTTTAAAATTAATAATAATAATTTATTATTAATAATAATCTACTCATCCAATTATTCAAGGTACAGGTTTTTTGTTTGTTTGCTTATTTAAGTAGGCTCCACACCAAATGTAGGGCTTTAATTCACAACTCTGGGATCAAGAGTCACATGCTCTACTGATTGAGCCAGCTAGGTGTCCTTTAAAGTTAAAGTTTATTTTCTTTTTTAAGATTTTATTTTTAAATAATCTCTACACCCGAAGTGGGGCTCAAACTCACAATCCTGAGACCAAGAGTTGCACACTCTACAGAATGAGCCAGCCAGGTGCCCTCACATTATAGTTTCATTATAGTTTCTATTGAAACTATAGAATAGTTTCTATGAAACTATTTCATTATAGTTTACATGTTATCTCCTTCAGCATGCCTTCTCTGATTTCCCCACCAATGTATAAATTCCTCCTCTACTGAACACATTTGGCATACTGTCAATTTATCATATAATACCTCACACTATGGCTATTTATGTAACAACATTACCTCTTACTAGATTTCATAAGAGGGAAATGACTAGAAGGGGAAAGTTCCTTAAGGGAAATATCTACAGAGCCATGCACACAATAAGCATTATATATATATAATATATATATATATAATATATATATATGTATGTTATATATATATATAACATAAATGAATGCTGACATATACAAGCATACATATTATATTGATAAAGAGGTATAAAATAGTATGAAAATAACATATCTAGTGGGTTAAATATATGGCATTAATTTCAAACTTGAATGTGGCCTAAATTTAAAGAACTGGTATTATAAAGTAACTAGGTTTTCAAATTATTATTACCAGTATTAATGCCAAAGGGGAAAAAAATCAAATCCACATGTTCTTACACAACATGAAATTCAAATACTAGAACATATTATTTACTCTACATATAAGCAGTTTTGTTTTATAAATAAATATATATATTAGAAAGTTTTTGACAGCATATTAAATTAATAAAAAGAATTCTCCCTTACTTCGAGTTAGTTTTGGAAATCTTTTTTTCAGCTTCTTCTTTAATGGATTAAGCTCAGGCATTATTTCTGGAACAGCTACATAAAAGTCTGATTGAATTTCATCATCCAAAATCTGAAAATCAGGGGAAAAAAGATAAATTATATGAAAAGCTTTATCCTTCTGAAAATAAAGTATAATGTAGTAATTTCCCTTAGAACTTAGAAAACAGACATTAAGCACAATCTTTTCTTCAAACACAAAGACCTTACAAACACATTTACCAATTATGAAAACCATTAGAACCAAAATATTTTCTGATGTTCTTTCATTTTTTTTTATTTTTATTTTTTAAGATTTTATTTATTCATTCATGAGACAGAGAGAGAGAGAGAGAGAGAGAGAGAGAGAGAGAGAGAGAGAGAGAGAGAGACACAGAGACACAGGCAGGGGGAGAAGCCGTCTCCACACAGGAAGCCTGACATGGGACTGGATCCCAGGTCTCCAGGATTACGCCCTGGGCTGAAGGTGGCGCTAAACCGCTGAGCCACCGGGGCTGCCCTGATGTTCTTTTAAAAACTGCCCACATTCCTAAAAAAAAATTCATCTGATTTAATTCTTACATGGGGTTATACTAGGCAAAAGTATAATAAACTAGAAGATAGCACTGATGTACATGCCTCATATACTCCTAACAAAGGTGAATTCCTATGTTCATTAAAACTGGCCATAGAAACAATGCCAAAAATTGTGCAATATATCACATGTAAAATTAATAACACTCAAATTGCTAGCAACCACACTGCTTTCCTAAATTTTGAGCATCAAGAGAACTAATCTATAATTATTTTCACAAAGAACTGAAACTAAACTTCTATTGCCTCCAATAACTAAAAATAAAAGAGGAATGAGATGGTCAAAGATAAATTCATTTATATTTATCCATACTCTAATTCCATTTTAATAGCAAAAATAATAATAATATACAAATTTTTAAAAACAGTTTTAATGTAGGCAAGCATCTAAAATAATCATTAGACTACAATATAGTCCATTTAAACATACAGTTGATTACAAAGTGATTACAAAAACATTTAGTTTGATTATAGAAAAGCAACTTTTTAGAATAATACTGCCTGGACAACAAATATTTTACCAATGATTCTTTTTGCATATACTATTACCATAGTATGTCACTCAAAAAACGCAGTTTGGGGTTACACAATAAACCCTAAAATCTTGTACCATGGCAAAATTAAACAGTGATTCTGGAATTTTACCTTTCTGTTACTATTCTTATTTTTACAAATTCTTTACTCCCTAAATAACTTACTCTGGTCCCCTTAACAATAACTTGCATTAAGCAAGCACTTAACACATGTGCCAAGCATTCTGCTAAACATGTCAAATGATTTAGTTCATCCAGTCTTTACAATAATTCTAGGAGGCCAGTACTGATGTTGGCCACACATTCCAGATAGGAAACTGAGGTCTCAAGGCATATTAGACTGTGCACTTACAAAAAGCAGACCCAGATCTCAAACACATGTAATGTAGTTCCAGAACCCAGAGCTCTCATTCATATAAATATGAAAACAGAGGCAATTTTTAAATGTCAAAGAACTGCATGTGAAATTTCTACTCTAAGATTACTTTCCAATATGGATTTTATGACATGTTCCTTTAAATTTATGTGTGAAAGTTATGTTACAGTTAACCTTAAAATCACATCTTGGAATAATACAAAACTATATAAACAAAAACCATGCTTTAGGGAGGAGTAAAAATTAAATCATTTAAAGATCTCTCACAACCAAGTATATTTGTGATATCTCAAAATGAAACAAAATGATTAAATAAAGGCCTTACCTAAATGACTATTAGTTTAGTAAATTCACCACACCTTAGCTTTTTTTTTTTTTTTTTAAAATCTACGATAGTCACACACAGAGAGAGAGAGAAGCAGAGACACAGGCAGAGGGAGAAGCAGGCTCCATGCACCGGGTAGCCCGACGTGGGACTCGATCCCGGGTCTCCAGGATCGCGCCCTGGGCCAAAGGCAGGCGCCAAACCGCTGCGCCACCCAGGGATCCCCGTACCTTACCTTTTATAAGTGCTAAGTAAAATAGTGTTTAATCTAAATAAAAAATACAGAGTGTGTTAAAAAATTACACTCATGATACTATTTACAAAACTGGATTGAATTTATTTCATAACTTGAATATCTTTGAAAATTAACATGAATGAGGGATGCCTGGGTGGCTCAGTTGGTTGGGTGGCATACTCTTGATTTTGGGTCAGGTCATGAGCTCAGTATATAGTCTGCTTAAGGAGTCTTTCCCTCTCCCTCTGCCCCTCCCCCCATTCATATGCTTGCTTGTTTTCTCTCTCTCTCTCTAATAAATAAATAAATCTTAAAAAAAATAACATGGATGAGCTTTGAAAGATTCCATGTGAAAAAAAATCATAATAAATAAAAATTAAAAAATTAAAAAGAAAGATTCCATGTGATAACCTGTAAGAATATGCTAGTGATGCCTTATACAGATGGCATTTTTCCTCTAGTAATAGATCATCAATGGTATCCCTAAGAGAAATTTTGTACCTGTAATATTGACCAAATAATTTCAAAATGTACTTGCTTTCCTTATTTGGGTTACTTTTTCAAATATGTTTTATTTAATAAGCAATGTTACAGACATTTATTTCTTGAGAAGTAATTTCTTGCTTAACATTTAACTTCATTTAAACTCCATTGTTGTTTTGACAGTTCTACCAGACACTCTTATGCTTTCTGGAAAAAAAAAACAGATGGAAGGCAGTACACTAATTTAATAAGAATAGTTAGTTCTCTGGCTCCAGACATTAAGCTCTACTCTCCAATTCCAAAGAATATGTGGTATTGTTTAGTTTTTAAAAATTAAAAGAATTTTAATAATTTGATTAAAGTTTATCATACATCAGAAAGAACTGGTACCACCCTCTGATTTTGAGCCAGACTCTGCATGAAAGCATAATCTCTTTGTATTTTCCATTAGTGCTACTCCCAAAAATCATTCTGGAGACTCTCCTTAAAAATAGAGAATCCTCCCCACATTTAGAGTACTATTGGGGGTGGAAAAAATAAAAAAACCTACAAACACTCTTCTACATCCCAAAGGAAGGGCCCAGTTCAAACTTTCCCCAAATGCAAATCTGAATATGGAACAAAAGAAATTTTCAGGGACACCTAGGTGGCTCACCAGTGAGCATCTGCCTTTGGCTCAGGGCCTGTTCCTGGAGTCTGGGGATCAAGTCCCACATCAGGCTCCTTGTGGGAAGCCTGCTTCTCCCTCTGCCTATGTCTCGGCCTCTCTATCTCTCTCATGAATAAATAAATAAAATCTTTAAAAAAAAAAAAGAAATTTTCATACACTTTCTCCTGCGCCAAATACAAAAAGTATTCCTATAACCTAAACAATTAAATTTAAAAGAGAAAGATTTTAGAGAATGTTAAAGAAAATCTCTTGTATTTTCAAAAATAACTCCCAAAATTCAACAGACAGGCTTCTTCTTCCCACCTCTTTTTTTTTTTAAGTTTTTTTTTTTTAATTTTTATTTATTTATGATAGTCACACAGAGAGAGAGAGAGAGAGAGGCAGAGACACAGGCAGAGGGAGAAGCAGGCTCCACGCACCAGGAGCCTGATGTGGGATTCGATCCCGGGTCTCCAGGATCAGGCCCTGGGCCAAAGGCAGGCGCCAAACCGCTGCGCCACCCAGGGATCCCTTCTTCCCACCTCTTAAAAAAAAAAAAAATGTTGTTCTGATTGCAATTCAGCTCCACAAATTCTTTGTTACTTTCTCAATACAAGCAGCATAACCATTTGTTGCCTCATGGGGAATCTATGCAACTCTGAAGTGGCTGCAGAGTAAAAGTTAAGAGTAATTATAAGTATCATATTACAAAAAAAAAAGTATATTACTACAGAGGTCAGATACTATCCTTTGTGATCTGTAAAGTTAATCTTACTTTTCACCTCAAGAAGGCAAAAACAAATATTTGAGCTTCAAAAAATGAATAATGATGTTCATGAGTGCTACCTTTTAAATGTCATTTTAAATCTCCCACTCAAAACCAAAGAGTCATATTGCCCTTTCCAGTCTACTTACAAAACTCTCACAAACATACAGCAAGAAAAGAGGGGGAAAAAAATCACAATATAAATCAAGCATAATTAGTATCAGACTGGATAGTTTTTTCTTAGCTTGATTTTGAGACTTAAAAGAGTGGGAAAATTCTTCCCTGTTCTACAAAGCTTTACTAACCATTTACATTACATCAAAAGATGTAAGCATAGTGGTTAGGTTCCACATGTAACAAATCAATGGATGGCAAAGATAACAATTTCTATAACTAATGAACATGAATATAACACTGTACCTTCTGAATCAGATTAGTTCCTCCTGCAAACGCAGCTCCATTTTCTTCTGCTATTTTAATCTCTGATGCATTCTATAAATACAATAGTTTGAACATCAATCTTTAAGTAAATTCAATCTGCTTTCAAGTATTTTGTAAGAAATAATATCACAGGTCAAAGTAAAAATTGTGGTTTTACTTTTAACTGAAAATGCATCAATTCTCAATCAGACGCATCAGAGATATTACATCCTGTACAAGTTTACTTTGTAGGTGATTAAGGTGTTTCTTGACTAACACATGAGGAAACACATTGAAACACATTGAACCAGAGTGGTTCAACCTAACTCTTCAATGCCTTCAATATATATTCTTCCAAAAGTAAAAGATTAAAATATATTTAGTTTTGCTAACTTAAATGGAGACATCACCAACATAGAAGAGGAAAAATTACTTAAGAAATGACAAAATCAAAACTAGATTGTACACCTGAAATATAAGACTGTATGTTAACTAACTAGAATTAAAAACTTAAAATAAATTTAGCCAGCTGTCTGAAAATTCAAAAGAAAAACACAAGATTAGTTATTGTCTTTCTGTATATTCCATTTATGCCATTTGATTTTACTGTGAAAATGTATCACTCCATTAAATCATTCAAGTTTTATAGCGTTCCAACAGCTATATTCTCCACTTTTCTAGAAATAAAATCTCTTCCTTGAAAGTGAGGCAGATATAGAAGAATCAAAATGCTCTAACAATTTATAAATACATTACAAATAAATGTTTATAAGTAACACAAAAAGACTGAAAAAGAGCCATATGACTCTGTTACAGCTTCGACTTTCCTGGCTTTCCAGACTAGATATTTTTAAAAGTGTGGTTTCTGTCTTCACAGTACTAAGTGAGCTCATTGCTTTAAAATAATTTCATTGTTTTTGAAAAGAGTACTTTGAGTTGGAAGCAGGAACTAGTAGGACAAATTCTCTATTTCTCTTCAGTTTCTTATAAGAAACATAATGTAGTAGATTAAAAACGATGAAATTAATATTCTAGTTTAGCTCTTTCTCAAACTAATGACATAACCTCAAATAAGGCACCTAACTGCTTCAAATGGGGAAAATAAGGCTATGTGACTAGTCTACTCATTCAGTTAATCTAAGCACTGATCAATGTTATATGTAAAAAAATTAAATGATATGAAAAGTTGGCAAAGGTTACTCACCCCTGTAAGTACAGCAACTTTATTGATTTCTGAAATGAATGGGTATGGAAAACTAAGAACACTGGCAAATGGCTCCACTTTTTTCTAAATATACAACAATGGAAAAATAATTAAGAAAAATTCATTCATCTTTTCTGTATCTCTTACATCTACAAAAAACAAAGCTAACATGTTTTGTTTTCAACATTTTAGTTCTACCATATGTCCTCTAATTAATTCAGAACTATTTACTGATTACTATTAAAGCATAAGAGACTATCAAAAAATCATAATGAAAATCTATCTCTCCCACCTCCATACTGCCATAGCACTTGGTTTCTGTCTCTACATCATTCTTCACAGTTTCTCCTATATTAAAAGATGTGTTTGCATACCCATATCTTCCCCAGAACCTAGTACAATGCCTTCTACATGATAGATATCAATAAATGTTTACGGGATGCCTGAGTGCCTCAGCAGTTGAGCGTCTGCCTTCTGCTCAGGGCATGATCTCGTGATCCACAGATCCAGCCCTGCTTTGGGATCCCTGCAGGGAGCCTACTTCTCCCTCTGCCTATGTCTCTGCCCCTCTCTCTCTCTCTGGCTCTCTCATGAATAAATAAAATCTTTAAAAAATAAATAAATAAATGTTTACTACCTTGAATTAAATTAAAAAGAACGTGTAAGTTTTTTGATATTATCAAGGAGTGTATGAGCACAGCTATGCATAATGGACAACAGAAAATATCCAGCTAATCTGCTTAGTAGGTCACTATTAACCCTAAATCAAAGATAGAAATGCCAAGCCTGAAAGGCTCTTTTGACTGGGTCTATTCTGAAACTATATAGACTGCCTACCACTTTGAAAGACATTTGGGAAGTCAGTTAGAAAATCTAAGATATGTAATGGCGTGCATTGAGACACCCACCCAAACATGGGTGGAGATTCATCAGGGCCTTTTTTGTTCAGTTACCTAAGCCAAGGATCTGTCTAGCCCTGTGGCTCATATCACTTAGAGAGACTTCACATGGAAACAAGTTCTAGGCCCATAGTTTTTGTGCAGTTTTAAGATCTAGAAAAAAGGGAAAAAGGGTTGTTCCCCAATTAAAACTGATTGAAAGGTTATATTTTTTAAAAACTTTATTTTGAGTAAAGATAAGCTCCTGAGGACTTCTTTTCAGACAAGAAGGCACACTCTTAAGCACACCTGTTATCAGACATGCAACTCAATTTTATTGACTGACATTCCTTTGCCATTAACATGTCACAACTGGTTTCAGGGAATTTTTCAATGGCCAGTAACCACGATAAAATCATGAAAAAATTCCCTGGGGGAATATTAGCTTGTTGTAAAAGGGCTCTATCAAAAACAAAAAAATGTCTTAGAAAGACACCAGTACCCTTTCAATGTTAATGAAAGTGTGTGGTACAACAAGTCTTCATTATGAACCACAGCTGACCGCTAGAGAACTCAGGGGTTGGAGCACTATCCCCAGCCCAGTGGAAAATCTGCGTATGACTTTTGACTTCCCCAAAACTTAACTACTGATAACATGAATAGTCAACTAACACATATTTGGTACACTGTATATATTAGATACTATATTATCATATCAAAGAAAGCTAAAGAAAATGTTCTTAAGAAAATAAGAAAAATATATTTACAGTATTGTACTGTATTTATCAAAAAAAACTCTGCATGTAAGTGAATCCTCAAATTCAGCCTATGTTGTCCAATGGTCAACAGTACATTAACGGCTGACTGAGAGGGTGATCATCTTGGATACCACAACATTTTTAAAATAAAAGAACTAACAGTAACACTGTGGTATAAAATAAAATTACAGCGTGGCTGGTATAAACTGTCTCTAATAAATAAGAACTAAGAAAAATGTTCTTGATTCAAATCCTAACTCCGCCTCCTATTCTGTGACCTTGAACAACTTACTTCAGTTTCTATGTCTCACCTTCCTCTTTTGAGGTTATTATAGAATTAAATGAGAAAATGCATGCAAAGCACTTAACAGTGTGGCTGGTACACAGAAAATTTTCCAGTAAATGTTGACTGTGATTATTAAACACTTACCAAATCCTTTACATGCATTATCTCAATTAATCCTCTTAAAAACTGTATAAAAGAAGCATTTTATTTCCCCTTAAAGAAGGTAGAAAAATAGATCTGAAGAGGTTAAACCAGAAACCCAAAGAGCAAGTAAGTGGTGACACCAGGATTCTGGCCTGTACTGTAATCTGACTCCAGAGCCCATGCTCTTAAGGACTACACTGTACTGCCTCCTCCTACGTGTTCAACTGTTGTTGCTGAGGTTGTTAAATTGTATTCAAAAATTTGTATCTTCTAGTTTGACCCAAAAAAAAGACATCCTCAGAATAAAAATTAAAATACTGTTTCCAAGAAAATTAAATTTCTTAAATGCAACACTTCCAAATTTAGTGCTATAATGGACCTCAACTCTAATTTAGTATTTTTACTACTTTTAGAGTTTTATAAGCAAAAGTCTTCCAAAACTGCATATAAACAGATAAAGCAGAAAAGTTTAGGATGAAGCAAGAGTGAGGAGCTTGGTACATGCACATACAAACTCAGTCTCAACACAGGACAATAAGGAACATACCTGCAGGCAACTGAGCTAATCCCAAATCCTCATTTACAGAAAGGAGTATGACACTCAGGCAGCATAAGTCACTTTTCAAAGTTACAGTAATACCTCAATTAATTTTAATACTACTTTTGCTGAAATTTATATCAGTGATTTTCAGGTGAATAGGAGACATATGTTCATTAACTCTGCAGAGTATGTTCAACATAATTTTATATTTGGAAAATAAAAAACATTTTTCATTCTATAGTATACAAAGAGCATAAGATTTCCCAAAAATTGTTATAGGAAACAAGGAATTAAAAAAATTAAGAAACAGCAATTCACACAGCTACTATTCACAAATTTATTTTAATTGAATTTACATACCTTCTTCCCCAGTGACATATCCAGTGTCAAATCAAGATAAACACCTTGCTTTGGATTAGTAAAGTCTAGAGTTTGAAATTTCTTAAGTAATTGAATAGCTTTCTCCACCTCATATATCTGCCTTGGATATAGGTGCTTCAAGTAGACATCATCCTCAGGTTCACCTTCCATAAAGGAATATGACTTTATTTTTTCTATCTCATCTTTTTTCTCATCTGATGCTTTGTCTTTCATACCTTTTTTTGTTTTCTTTGCAGGCCTTAAAAAAAAAAATTCAAGATCAGTTATCTCAATACATATTCTAAGAAACTTTTTTTTAAAAAAAGCAAATGTACATAATTCAGAAAAAAATAAAGTTTATTTTTTTGTTTAATTCAAAAGCATAGACTGCTTTATAATTTTTCTAGTTCAACAAGTATTAAGTGAACTTTTGTACTGTATGCAGTTGATACAAAGTTGGATAAGGCATTGATGATGTTCTCCAGAAATTTAGAGAAATAGAGGAGACAGACATATAAACAGATAATTTCAATAGAATGGCTAAGTACTTTGACACAGTGTTATCAGAGCTGTAGGGAAGACATTTAATCCAGTCTAGGAAACTAGGAAAGTGTTCTATGAGAGATGACCCTAACATCAATTCTTGAAGAATAAGGAAGAATTGGCCAAAGTATATACCCTAGAAAGACGAAAACATATGACCACATGAAAAGGTGTACACAAATGTTCATAGCAGCATTACTCAAAACAGCCAAAAAGTAAAAATAACCCAAATGTCCAATAACCCAGATTGATACATAAATGTGGTGGTATATCCATACTTTTAAAATACTCGTATTTTATTAAATATTAATCAGCAGTGAAAAGGAATTGAAGTACTGATACAAGCTATAACAAGTATGAACTATAAAAACATTATGCCAGTGAAAGACGCCAGTCACAAAAGACCACATATTTTATGAAACATGAAGGACAGGAAGTCCATAGAGGCTGAAAGTAGACTTAGTGATTGTCTGAGGCTGGGAAAGGAGTTTAGAAAAAATGGGTCATCACTGTCAATAGACATGAGGTTTTAGTGGAAGTTAGCAAAAATGTTCTAAAATTGACACTGGTGATGGTGTCAAAAGTGTGAATATACTAAAAACCACTGAATTGTACACTTTAATGGGTGAATTGTATGCTTTGTAAATTACATCTTAATAAGGCTATTACTTTAAAAAGTAGGGTCAGCCAGGCAAAGAAACAACATAATAAAAGTATTGAGTCATGAGACAGAATACAAGTATTCAAGAAGACCAATTATAAATTCTAACTGATGGGCAGCCCTGGTGGCTCACTGGTTTAGCACCACCTTTGGCCCAGGGCCTGATCCTGGAAACCCAGGATCAAGTCCCACGTCAGGCTCCCTGCATGGAGCCTGGTTCTCCCTCTACCTGTGTCTCTGCCCCCCTCTCTCTCTCGTGAATAAATAAATAAAATCTTAAATAAATAAATAAATTCTAACTACGAGAGCAAAGGTGAACAAAACTTTTCTGGAAGGGACCAGACAGCAAAATATTTTGTGGTCTCTTATCTCAGTATTTCAGTTCTGGCACTGTATTGTGAAAGCAGCTATAGACATTGAAAAATGAATGAATGTAGCTACGTTCCAATAAAACTTTATGAACAAATAGCTTAAATTTCATAATTTTCATGTGTCACAAAATACTGTTTTTTCTTTTTTTACCCAATCACTTAAAAATGTAAAGACCATGTCCATGAATCATACAAAAATAGATAGTAAACCAGATTTTTTTGGTCCACTGGACATAGTTTGCTGACTCCTGAACTAAAGGGCAAAACAGAAGGCAAGATACATCAGAAGATGGGGCTGGAGAATCTAGATCACAGAGCTCCTTCGCTAGAGGTAATAAGAAGCCACGGAACAGGAGTGGCATCTGTATTTCCAACAGAGTATTCCAGCTACGAGACACAGATTTGAAGGAAGCTGAATTAGGGACAATATAAAGACTAATTCCTCCCTTTCTTCTCAAGGAAATATGACAGCCTCCAGAGTAGTATTGGTAATAGACCGGAGAAAACAAGATTATATATTTATAAAGTAAACACTGCAGAAATAGAAAGATGGAAAAAGTCTATATAACATCTCCTACATTTCTAGCTTAGGTGACTAGGCATAGAGTAGTATCATTAAGACTAGAAATAAAGAAAGCAAAACAGTTTTCTTATAAGGGAGGTATTTACAAAGATGAGTTTAGTTTGAGGCAATACAGAGTTTGAGCGTGGGGTTAGTTGCATCACTGACCCTACTTCTTTATTCCCTCTCTTCATTCAAGTCCCTTTGCTGAGTGACTTTGCAGTTCCTCCCATTTAAAGAGGTAGAACATATTTCCCAGCACTTTGATTGGTCATCTTGACTAGTTTGGCCAATATAATAAAGCAAAAGTGACAGTTTCTCTGCTCTAAGCTTAGGCCAATAAGAAGCTTAAAAGGTTTCCACTTGCATGTTTGTATTTCTGCCATTTCCATAAGAATATGCTTGGGCTACAAGAATAAGAGATACGTGAAACAGAGCTGACCCCACAGAGCCCCAAGCTAGATTGGACAATTTGCAGCTGACCTGCAGACTCAAAAGTGCAGCAAGCCCAGCCAAGGTCCTAAGAGACACCCCATCCAAACCTAGCTTAGATCAGCTGACCAACACATGTGTGGGCAATGATAAATAATTCTTGAGTGGTTTGATACATAACAAAAGCTAACAAGGTATTTATAAAATATCTAGGAAAATATGTTCAACAGGTAACTGCAGGTAAGAGTTTGAACCTAAGACAGAAAAAAAAAAAAGAGCTAGAGATAATATATTTTAAAATCTCAACATTAATTCAAATCACACCTATAATCTTTTAACCATAGAGTTTGAAATTAGTTAAGTAATATTTCTAAAATATTATGGTAGGCAGAATAATAGCTTTCCAAAAATGTTATATCTCCATGGCAAAAAAGGACTTTGCAGATGTGCTTAGGGCTAAAGACTGAGATGGGGAGACTGTCTGGATAATCCAGGGGGCCTATCTAATCACACAAGTCCTTAAAAGCAGAGAAATTTTCTTCCCTTTCCTAACTACATCTGACAGAGATGGGAACAAGAAATTCGAGCATGAAAGGGAATCTGCCATTCCTGGCTTTGAAGATGGAGGAAGGGGGCCAGAATATTTTTTTAACTTACAAACAGAACACTGTTTTAGTTAAATAAAAAAAGAGCATATTATAACACAGATCAAACAGGACTCTAAAAAGCACTTTCTTCCAAAATTAAAAAAAAAAAACATAACTGAACAAAACCTGTCAATAATTAATTTTATAGACCCACTGTCTGTTTTTCATGACCTTCCAAAAATGTCTATCTTTATTCATTACAATCACATCCAGAAGAACTCTTGTTGTTCATGCAATTATATAAGGCCCTATTAGGAGAGCTTAAATGCTATGATTCTTGGGAATAAAAATAAATACTAAAAAAGGTTTTTGCCAAGGCCAGGGAAAAATATCTGGCAATCTGACTTCAAGTGAATTGAGCTGTGGTTACCTATCTAAATGACATAGATTAAATATAACAAGAGACTATACTCAGGTAATAACTTTCTCCCTGCCTTATCTGATCCTTAACTCCAAAAGCATAAAAAGAAAAATAATTCCATGGTTATACTCAAATAAAACAAGAAAAAAATCAGTGCTATATAATAAAGCTCATTTTAAGAACTTTGAAGATCTGTGCCCCCAGAGATCAAGTCCCTTCAAGGCTGAAAAACTCTTTACCCTGAGGAACTGCGGGATGGAGGTTGGGGGGCATAGTGATACACAACTTCCATCAAACTAAACAGAACTAAAGAGAAAATGCCTAGGGCATGTAATTATTAATGAAATGCAAACATCCTGACATCTTATTTCTCAGTGTAATTCTGTAAATAAGTTCACTAATATCTCTGATGCTTTTATTCATAAAACTAAATGCAGAAGTTCTGTTTATACTGACAATGTGGAAGTAAAAAAAAACAGTGATACAAATAAATGAAAATTGAAAAATAAAAACTGGAATGAATATTAACAATTAGAGAGTCGGATAAAATCACAACTTTTCTTGATTGCATCACAAAGCTAAGATTACAGGGCAACCAAGTAGCCTTATAGTCAAGGAGAATCAGCCTGCATTCCCTATCCCCACTCCACATGCATACTCAGGACAGACCTGTAGCGTAGTAGGAGAGAAAGGTAAGCAGGTAAGAAAACAAAACAGCTAAAATGTTAGGGCTACTAGAAACCTCCTGGGATATCCACACACAATAGGAGTTCACACTCAATTTGTAGGCCTTTTCCACTGACCTCCACCAGATGCTCCTGGGAAAGACTGGAGCAGGCCAGGAGACTAGAAAGCTTCCCTAAAAAATACAGGCACAGAGATTTGTCACTGCTACCAGAAAGACATGTAACCCTGAAACCACATAGGTCACAGGTAAACACCCATGTGTATAAGGAAAAGAAAGAAGAAAAAAACACAAAAATTTCTATCCTTAGGGGTAGGTCAGTAAACAGTCCTGAGCACAATATCTTCCAACAGTAGTCGACTTGGGGAAGGGCCTGGACACTCTGGCAAAGACCTGTAATAGATAGAAACCGTGAAGAAAACGGACAGAAATATTGAGAAAACCCCATCCCGAAGGTCCAGTCACACAGGGCGCACTTAAAGGCTTATTTGGAAAACAGAGAATCCCTCCTGCACCCATCTCCAGTCTAGCAAACACTAATAAGCAACAGCAATCTACACTAGGGAAGAAGCAAGAGTATGAAGAGAGACTCCCCTACCCCCACTGTCACACTCTGAGGTACAGGTACACAGGCAAGGCAGAAAACAGAGCATAAAAGAGGAATGCTGAGAAAAATTTTCCAGCAACCCTGCCCCCACCTTTTGCACCAGGTAAAGAACAGAAATTTGAAGCTGGTTGTAACCATAGCAACAACAAAACCAAAACCTAGCTCCACTTCTAACTGGGCTGATTCAACACTGTTACAAGAGGCATGTGCATTCCCAGGCATAAATACTAGGTACTTAGGTTTCAACTGTTCTACGCAAGATGTTCCGCAGTCAATAAAAAATTCTGAGATATGTGAAGAAGAAAAAGAACCTATTATCAACAAAGAAACAGAACCAAAGTCAGAGATGACCAAAGTGGTCTTTTATATCAGGATCTGCCACTGACAAAC